TGTCATTGATTCATATATCTTTTCCTGTTTTCTTCATCGATTTCTATAGTAACCATAGCTTCTTCCACATATCCCAATATCATGTTTAAATGTTGATCATAAGCATGTCATCTGCCTTGAAGCTCTTGGTCACTTCTGATTTACAAATTTTATAAATTTGTTCATCCAGGCTGAGCCCGATGAGATCCAGAAAGAAAGATAATGATAAGAAAAAGATAAAAGAGATAAGAAAAAGATAAAAGGAGAAAGAGACAGATGTAGGTATTTTTGATAGTCTCTCTTTGTCAAGACCCTAATCTGTGCCAGCCTCTCAGTTAGCTAGGATCCCAGGTGTCTAGCATGCTGAGATTGGGCCAGAACCAAATCTGTCCCCCAGGCCACTTCCAGCTTCCCAAGCAGTGGTGCTATCAATGTGTCACTACAGCTGGGCCCATATGGCTTTTCTTTTTTCTTTTTTTTTTCCTTAAAAAGGTTTTTGCCATAGGACCCATGAACTTGCCCTAGAGAGAGACAAAGAAAGAGTAAGAAATCACTCCTTAAGGGAGAAGGCCATTCTGCAATCTCTTTTTTTCTATTCTCCTCTCAGGATTTTAGGCATGCACGTACACGTACCCAGCATGAATTTCAAGCCGCCAGTCCAGGACTCTAGCCAGTCAGCCATGTAGGGGTCCAGCACCTTAACCACCACACCACTTGCTGGCCTTTCTATATGGCTTTTTAAAAACAAGTGTATTTGAACCCAGGATCCATGTAAGATATACACATCACAGTTGATTGCTGTTGGTATGTTTTCATCTTTTCTTTTTATTTTTTTCCCCCTTAGGTTTTTGCCCTAGAGCATGTGTGCTCACTGGAACGAGACAGAGAGAGACCGTGAGAGGGAAAGTGAGAAATCAACCCAGAGGGGATGACCACACCACAATCCCTTCTCTGTTTTCCTCCTGGGGTTTTGGGCTTGCATGCACATGCACCCAGCGTGATTTTCAAGCTGCCAGGCCCAGGATTTGAACCATAGTTGGCCATGTGGGAGAATAGCACCTTACCTGCCATGTCCCTATTTTCATCTTTCTTAATGAATAGATTATGGAAGCACCTAAGTAGTGTTGTCTGATGGCACTTCTGGGGTATTATAACCATACTCTTCAGCTCTCTGGGCTTGAAGAAAGTCACATGAGAGTCCCCAGGTGTTTGTGAGACTGCTGTAAAAGACCTGTGCTCCTTCCTTATCAGGAGGATGCAGCTCCCTCTTGTTCCTTCTGTGATGTGGGCAGCCAGTGGTGCTCTCACTTTGTAAGTCCATTAGGTCCCCATGGCTGTAGAATGTTGAGACTCAGGTTCTGTCTTTTTTTTTCATTCCAAAGCCAGAATGCTTTATTTTTTTAATTTGCCAGAGGGCATATGCACTCACCAGACACAGAGAGAGAAAGCACCCCCCAATAGGGTGAGGTCACGCTGCAGTCTCTTTTCATTTCTCTATCCTGTCAGGATTTTGGGCACTCACCACATATACCCAGAGTGTCTCAAGCTGCCCAGGTCAGCATTCAGACTGTGTAGTTAACCATGTGAGAGGTGGCTCCCTTAACTACTTAAGCCCTTCCAGAATCCTTGGGGAAAAATAAATTAGCCATAGGGCATGTGCACTCACAGAAGAGAGTCAAAGAAAGAGAAAGTGAGAAATCATCCTCTATTGGGCATGGTTATGCTGCAATCCCTTCTCCATCTCTCCTTCTTGTTGGGATTTTGAGCATACACACAAACATATGCCTGGTATGTTTCTCAAGCTTCTGAGTCCGAGACTCCCACTGTATAGTTGGCCATGTGGGATCTAGCCACCTTAACCACCATGCCACTGCCCAGAATGTTTCTATAAAGGGAAATTTCCCCTCATTTACTCTTGGTAAAGAAAAGGCAGGAAAAATAGTTCTTTCCGTTTATTTACTAGTTTTCAAAATAATGGATTGGGTCCTCTAATGGCAACCAGTTATTTTTGTTTCCTCTTTTCTCTTTCTGTTTCTTATCTGTCTTTGTTTTTCTTTCTTTCTGTGTGTGTTTGTGTGTGTGTGTGTCTTTATGATCACTTTGATTACAAGGGTTGGAGAAAAATTAAAATGTCATTTAGCTTAAGAAATGAGTTACCTGCAAATCAGATCAGTTTAGGAATGAAAGAACCCTCAAATCACTTAATATCAGAATGTATGCATGTTTTTCTTTGAAGGTTTGAACATTTAAAGAGGCAATCATATAAATTCTCCTGTTTTCCATGCAGAATAAATTCTTTATTTTAGCCAACTGTTACCGGAAGGGCAACTGGTACACCATCTCCCTGGACAAAGAGCATTAGGATATTGCATGTCATTGATTCATATATCTTTTCCTGTTTTCTTCATCGATTTCTATAGTAACCATAGCTTCTTCCACATATCCCAATATCATGTTTAAATGTTGATCATAAGCATGTCATCTGCCTTGAAGCTCTTGGTCACTTCTGATTTACAAATTTTATAAATTTGTTCATCCAGGCTGAGCCCGATGAGATCCAGAGCTTTCTGGCTGATGTTGGTAGGCCATTGCTGGTCCACATCATCTGCTATGTTTTTCTTTTATTTTCTTATTTTTACTATTGGGCACATGTTCTCACCAGAGAGAGAGAGAGAGAGAGAAATTACCCCCAGGAGCGATGGCCTTGGCCATAGTCCCTTCTTCATTTTCCTCTCGGAATGTTGGGTGCGTACACACACACACATACACACACAGAGACACACATAGACACACACACACACCTCACACACCCAGCATGTTTTCTTTTCTTTTTTTTTGGAGAGGTTTTGTTATAGGGTGCGTGCACTTGCCAGAAAGTACAGAGAGAGACAGAAGGCAAGAAATCACCTCCCGGGGGGATGGCCACACTGTAATCCCTTCTTTTCCATTCTCCTCTCAGCATCTTGGGCACGCACACACACCCAGCGTGAGTTTTAAGCCACCGGGTCCAGGACTCAAACCTCAGTCGACTACATGGGAGTCCAGTGACATAGCCATTACACCAACTTCTGGTCCCAACTCAGCATGTTTATCAAGCCATTTGGTCTGAGACTTGAACGTCTCCATTGGCTATGTATTAGGTTGTCTAGAATGTTAGTTATATATTTTTTTCTATTATTTTTTAAGAGATATTTTTGCTACAGGGTACACGCACTTGCCAGAAAGAGAAAGCAAGAAATCACCACCCACCCTAGGGAAGATAGCCACACTGCAGTCCTTTCTCTTCCATTCTCCTTGGGATTTTGGTCACACATGCACATGTGCCTGGCGTGAGTTTTAAGCCACCAGATCTGGGACTCAAACCATGGTTGACTATGTGGGAGTCCAACAACGTAATCATTACGCCATCTACTGGTCCCTCTTTGTTTTTCTATGCAAAAATGTCATGACTTCCCTGACAACCCAATAGGATCCAGTCACCTTAACCAACACATCACTGGCTAGCCTGTCTACCACATTTCAAATCCTGCATCCTTTCCCATCTCTTGCAAGAATATCCCTTTTTTTTCTGTTATCTTGGTTTTGTTTTGTTTTATTTTATTTTTCTCTTTTAGCATCATATTTGGTGTTTTAGTTCATTCTAGCATTTAACCTTATTGATATACAAATCATCCCACCTTCGGCCCTGGAAACCCTCATCAGCTAGGCTTCACAGGTGTGTGACTGCTTCTGTGTTGACTGTTAACACAAGAGGCTTTGGGTACATCCTGGGCATCGCCTCCCTTGCTCTAGAATCTGCCACTTCTAAGGGTCCTTTTAGTATGGCTCTAGAGATGCTGATTTGCTATTGGGCTGATAATTTTTTGCAGTTTTTTTTTTTTTTTTTTTTTTTGAGAGACAGAAAGTGAGAAATCACCCCCCGGGAGGATGGCCATGCTACACTCCCTTCTTCTCCAGTCTCCTCTCAGGATTTTGGGTGCACCTGGTGTGAGTTTTAAACCACCGGGCCAGGAACTCGAACCAAATCATGGTCGACTACGTGTGAGTCCAGCAACATAACCGTGACTCCATCTGCTAGTCCCTTTGTAGACATTTTAAATATATAGAGTTAAGACATGCTCTTTTGTTTTGTTTTGTTTTTTTAAAGTACCAGAAAGTATGCATGCTCAGAGAGAGACAGAGAGGGAGAGAGGGAGAAAGCACCCCCCACTGAAGTGTGGTCACATAGTCCCGTCTCTATTTCTCCATCCTATGGCGATTTTAAGCATGCAAGCACGTGCGCCTGGCATATTTTTTAAGCTACCAGGACAGGAATTTGAACTGTGATGGCACATGTAGGATCCAGCTATCTTAATCACTAGGCTATGGTGTTGGTCAAGTAATGCACACTTTTTAAAGATAGAACACCATATTTGTTTGTAGTGACATTTCCCATTCAGATTCAGAACTTCAGGGGTTTTAATTCACTCTTTCATCTCTGTTTATATTTCCTCTCTCCCTTATGAGTTGTTCAAGTTACCAGGAATGACAGAATCAGGCTATTACTTTTCCTTCACTGTATCTCACAAAACATACAAAATGTCTCCATGTGATAGTACTCTCACTGCCATCAACAATGTGATGACAGTTTAAAAAATTTTTTTTTGCACAGTTCTTGTCCTTCATAGATATTTCTGTAGGAACAAACTGAATTTTCTAACTGCAGAGTTTTAAGCTCAGATGGAATAGTTTAAGCCACCAACTAAATACAAGCTTAGGCCCATTCGTTTCACATTACTTTCAATTTAGGGTATTTTCTTTTTATTTAGTTTTGATTTACAACTATAGAAGTATTTATGTGGTTTCAAAGTCAAATATACAAACAAAAGGATATTCAAAGAAATCTAGGCCAATAAATGGGCAAAGACAGGTAGGCAGAGCTTCTACTCCTTTTATACCCAATGAAAACAAACACATGAACCTTAATTTGTGACTTTATGACAGTCTTGTAAACATGTTTTTATTGCTGTTGTTTCTGGTAGATGTTCACACTGAAGCCGTGCAAGCAGCTTTGGCCAGGTACAAGGAAAGGAAGATGCCCATGCCTTCGAAAAGACGCTCTGTCCTTGTACACTCGTCTATGGAGACCTATACCCCTCCAGGTATTGATGACAGTATCAGGGATGGCTGCCATGAGTGGCTTACGGGCCTGAGGTTAGCGCCGTTTTTTTCCATTTGAGTTTGGAAGAGTCTTCTGGCCTGTGGTATAGATTTGGAAAATCTGGACATCAAAGGTGTTTGAAAATATGTATTCCCTTTGCCTGGAAATCAATTTTTATATACCCAAGCAAATACTTGTTCACAGAACTGTCTCTGTGGATTTAAATTATTTTCTTTTTTTACTAAGATGATATTTATGTCTTTTAGTAAAGAGAAGAACCTAAAATTAGCAGTTAATGGGATACTAAAGCTTCCGGAGTTAAGCATTCTAAAGTATTCTCATCTCATTACATATAATTAAATATGTTTCCAGGACTTAAATGGGTACTGTAAGACTATCTGAAGAGGGTTTTTTTATTTTTGGTGTATTTTGTTGTTGTTTTGTTATTGCCATTAGAAATGAAGAGGGGCTTCTCTTTAACAACAGTGTATTTTAAGCTTCCTGTGAAATTGTACCAAGGCACTTAAAAGTCTTGCTGCCATTATGTTATTTAGGTAACAAAACTGGCAGCATTGTTTTTGGTTTGATACATTTGGACTTACTACACAAGAAAAGCCAGACTTCCCAGAGTCACAAGATGATTTATCAATACTGGTTTTCATAATTCTAACTTGCTTTAAAAAAAAAAAATTTTAAGTGTATTGTGAAGGAAATATTTAAAATGGTTTTCAAAATGTTATTTCTACAAAATACAGCTGTCAACACTATAAACTTCTCAAGAATTTTTAAGTAATGGTAAAACCTACAGTAAAAGCAGTCATGCTGACTGGGGTAGAACTTTACTTCACAGTTTTATAGCCTGCAGGAGTTGTCTTGGGGAAGGGGTTCTGTTCAGAGCTGATTCGTATGTTAGCCTTCAGAGGATACCACAGTGCTGTGGGTGTGTCCAGGCCTACACATCCTGGGAACCTACACTGCTGCCCAAGGTGTAGGCCCAGGAACAGGCTAGGGGTAGCGGCTCAAGCCATTGTGTGATATGTGTGGGGCTCTGTGTAAACGTCATAAAGCAATTCATAGCTGGGATCTCCCTTGTTATTTGGGACCCCACTGTGAGATATGCTGAAGCCGTTTAGGAGACCAGAGGCTGTCTTCATTCTGGTGTGTGGTCGCTCTGTAGCTAAATTTCCCTGGGGAAGCTGGGGGCTCATGTAAGCTTTTTCCTACAGCAGGGCTCCTTGCATGCACCCCTAAGCCAAGGGTGGCCCCAGTGGTGACCCCTGTACAAGCCTGGGCAGAGCTGTACCTGCTGCACAGGCGCATGCGCATGCGGGCCTGGGGGCTCCAGTGTGAGTGTGGGGCTCTGCCCTCCCCCGACTCATCTCTACATCATACCTGTCGTCATTATTTTAACCACAGACACGTCATCTGCCTCAGAAGATGAGGGCTCTTTACGGCGACCTGGGCGACTCACCTCTACTCCGCTCCAGAGCCATGCTGGCGTCGAGCCCTGGCTCGACAGGGTCATTCAGGGCTCGTCCACCTCATCCTCCGCATCTTCCACCTCATCTCACCCGGGAGGGAGACCCGCCGCCACGCTGGGGGCTGCTGCTGCCACCGCGCTCGCAGGCCTTGCAGCCCACATCCACATAGGTCAGTAACAGCTGCATGGCCCCCGCACCAGCAGAGCAGAGCTAGCAGTCCCCAGGACAGCACCATGCACCAGCAGCACCCTCTCCTGCACGGAACCATGGAGAGCACCTGAGCCTGCTACCTTCTTGCAGCCTTTGCTGCAGACCCGATCTCTGTCCCCACGGCGGAGGTCACGCAGCCCAAATAACACACGATGTTTCATCTTCCTGAAACATTAACTGGTTTTGAGCTTTAATCATTACGCTTAAAGAAATAAGGTGATACTTGGTTAGTTCATGACCTACGTTAAATCTGCACAACCTTTGAACCTTCAAACAATACAGCTCAGCTGTCAAATATTTCCCCATCAAGACTACCTCTTTTTTCATTTGGAAAATGTCCTTTGGGCAACAAAAGCAGTTCTTTATGCTTGGTAGTTCTAGACCCTGGTGGCATGTGGGCATCCCCTGTGGCTCCTAGAAGCACGCGGTGTATCATGATGCTGAATCTCCTCTCTCTGCGCTAGGGAGCACCAGCCCAGGTGGGCTGGCCTTGGGTGGGTGGTCACACTCAAGGGCTGGTGGTTGTGACACTCTCCCTGGGCCCTCTTCTCCTTGGCAGACCCTGCCCTTCATCTTGGCCTTGTCCATAAGCCATCCCTGTACCACACAGGGTCCTGAGGCAGGTGCTGGGGCTATAGCCGTGGTCTGGCCTTTCTTCCTCCAGATACCAGATTGCACAGCTCCTCAACCTGCATATAGTCTGTCAAAAGATAGGTGAACTTTTTCCAAATCAACAATCCTTTGATTTCCATGAATCTTAGAAAGGAAAAAAATGTGACTCATTCATCACTTGAAATCCTACTTTTTAGCATAAACCATAGCCAAGTTAGCTGTCTGGAGCTGTGTGGGAAGCCTTCCTATGTTCTTGCAGTAATATCTGAAAGTGCAGCTGGCATTGTTGAAGACTCCTCTCAACTCCCATTCATTTCTGAATGAGGAAGACCAAAGTCAGGTGCTTAAACTCACCTGAGATGACAGCTGGCTTTGGCAGTGAAACTGGGGCTGGCACCAGTTTCCTTGGTCCCTACTCATTTTCTTTGCTTTTAATTGCTTTTCTGTTTAAAGCAAAGTGGTGAGCTCTCGCAGTGTACCTATGACAGGTCGTGTTTGTGGTGGCTACTCCGTGACTGGATTGGGACCAGCTGGGTGTTTTATGGGGCCTGTTGCTTCTGTGTCAGTGTCCCCTGTAGGGAACATCACTGTCACTCTTGCTTTTATCTATTTCAGTCAATACGCAGTGTTATGTCTCTGTTGAACGAGTGTCTCTTTCTTACAATGTGAGTCTGAGATGAAAACTCATGGTACCTCTCCCTGCTTCTGCTGTGCTTCCGTTCACAGGCAGCAGGAGAAGGCAGTATTTTCCACTAGAAGTGCCCCTGTGGCAAACTGTCTGCCTAGGTGGTTTTCATGGCATTCTCAGGCGTTCTACATGTGGCTGATGGTTACTGCCAACTTGTCCTCAAGGAGCTTTCCAGTTGGCAGTGCCATTGTATCTGTTCACCCTTATCTTCTTCTGTGTCGGTCCTTGTTGCCTAATGTTACAGAAATACACAGTTGACTCCGATGTGAGAACAGCAGTGGGTCTAAATGCTGTGGTACCTTATTTCTGCTTCCTGGGGCTTTTTTCCTAGGCAAGGGGGTAGGAAAGCAAACAAAGCATTTGTAGTATATTAGCCACTAAGGGACTGTCTAAACACTACTTCTGACGGGTTAGAAATAAAGGCATAAAGGGCCAGCAGGTAGTGTGGTGGTTAGGGTTTTGGACTCCCACATGGTCAGCTGCAGTTCAAGTTATAGACGTGGTAGCTTGAAAATCACTCTGGACGCATGTACTTATATGCCCAAAATCCAAGAGGAGAATGGAGGAAAATGACTGTGGAATGGCCATCCTTCCTGGGGGATGATTTCTCACTTTCCCTCTCTCTCTATCTCTTTATCTCTCTTTGGCAAGCCCACCCTATGGCTAAAACCTATTTTAAAAGATTTTTTTAAAAAATAGGTAAGGGAGGGACCAGCAATTGGCATAATGGCTATGTCGCTGGACTCCCACATAGTCGACCGCAGTTCGCGTCCCAGACCTGGTGGCTTGAAACTCATGCCGGGCGCGTGTGCATGCATGCACAAGATCCCTAGAGAAGAACGGAGAAGAAGGGATTGTGGCATGACCATCCCCCCCTGGGGGGTGATTTCTTGCTTTCTGTCTCTCTGTCTGTCTGGCGAGCGCACGCGCCCTATAGCAAAAAAAAAAAAAATCTCAAAAAAAGGAAAAGAAAACAAAATGCTGATTTGATCAACATAAGACTTTCAGAAGTTGTGAAAACTCTGTCATTAAAACTTCATTCCCCCCAACACACAAAGGTATAGCCTGCTATGTAATTTTGTAACAACTATGTAAATAGTTGTGTTTTGTTTTTGTGTAATTTCAGCTTTCTACATATCTAAAAAAATTCTTACTTTGCACTTTACCTAGGTTATTGAAATGATAATTAGATTATCATAATTAAAAATTTTTTTTTTGGAGAGGTTTTTTTTTTTGCTATAGGGCACGTGCGCTCGCCAGACGGACAGAGACATAGAGACAGAAAGTTGAAGATAACTGGACAAAACTGAGTCTGAAACTTGGTTTGAAATTGTCTCTCTGGTCTTTACTTTCTCATCAGTAAAATGGGAATCCTCATTTTGCCCTCTCAACCCTTGTGTGAGGGATCAGTGATGTGACATAATCTGGCGCCTACAGGGGATTCCAGCAACATAGCCATTACACTAACTGCTGGTTCCCCAGAATTTAAATATTTAAAGTGGAGAACCAGCAGGTGGTATGATGGTTAAAGTGCTGGACTCCCATATGGCCGATTGCAATTTGAGTCCAGGACCTACTGGCTTGTTTTCTTATTTTCCTTCTCTGTCTCTCCCTCTCTGGTGATATGTCTTATAGCAAATTAAAAATACTAATAATAAATTAAATAAATAATTATTAAAATAAATAAATGAATATTTAAAGTGCTTAGTGACACTGGCAGATATATTCATTAAAATATTAAACAGATTACCAGCCTCCATCTCAACAGACCAGTGTTGATTCTTGTAGTGGACAAGTATCGGTGTGTTAGTGTGGTAGTAGAACAGTTTCTCATAGTTGTACACACACAGCGCCTTTCCTAGTGGTCGAACCATTTGTAGTTACAACTTCTATAGCAGCTTATAGTCAGCCAACATTTTGAACAGATAAATGTGTTGTACCATGGAAATTAAGCACAGACGTGCTGAGATGATGGAAGGAATGACTTTTAAATATTTTCTACATCTAATGTAGCCTTTAAATGTGACATTAACATAATCTACTTTTAGAACTTGATTGTGGTCTCTTAATATTGAAGATACTTTTAACTAGTAGTGGGAATAGTTTTAATTTTTTAAAAGTTATTTCCTTTATTTTTATTTATCATTATAGTTATTTTCAATTTGACCAGAGCAAGACAAACACACACACACACTGAAAGAGAGAGGGAGAGAAAGTGAGAAAGCAAGCCACAAGGTCCAGGAATCAAACCATGGTTAGCCACGTGGGAGTCCAGCACCCCTAACCACCATGCCACCTGCCGGCCCCAGGAATAGTTTTAATTTTTACAGTTTTATTCTTTTTTGGGGGGGTGGGGGAGGAGGTTTTTGCTATAGGACATGTGAGCTTGCCAGGAAGACAGAGAGAGACAGAAAGTGAGAAGTCACCCCCCAGGGAGGATGGCCACACCGCAATCCCTTCTCTTCCATTCTCCTCTAGAGATTTTGGGCATGTGTGCACATGTGCCTGGCATGAGTTTAAGCCACCGAGTCCAGGACTTGAACAACTGTCAACTACATGGGAGTCCAGCGACATAGCTGTTACACTAACTGCTGGTCCCTACAGTTTTATTCTTAAGACCTACAAAGGTAGTATCTTCATGATAGCCATGTACTTTTTTCAGGGTTAGGGGTAATTTAGGAGCCTGACTATTGTTTTCATAATGTAACAAAAAATGTTTAAATGATAGTTTATTTCAAATTTATTTCTGCTTTCTTAATGGAGAATTTCTAACTAAAATCTTATTAGGTAGTGTGATAGGCAAGTTTACTCCTCACCTATCTCTGTTATGTAAGAGTGACTCAAGGTCGGGATTCTGTGAGAACTGAGTCACCCACAAGCACACATTTCTCTACCTATCACACCTCAGAGCCCCAGCATGCCTTTAGTCAACCAGGAAGATGAAATTGAGCAGAATATCACTGTCTTCCTGGCTAGTGCTCAGCTGGTGAAGCCATAGACTAGTGGGGTTGAGCAGTAACTCCAGATTCATTTGAATTAACAGCCACTTCTATTTTGCTTGTGTTTCTCAAACTCAGATCTGCACTCTGCCCCTCCTGATGTCACCACGGGCCTTGTGGAGCATTCATACTATGAACGGCCACAAGTGGCCTCTGTGAGAGGTGTTCCTCGGGGGCACAGTGGGGGTGCCTTGGACACAGCAGACGGTGAGCATACCTCTCTTCCTTTGAATAGCAGAACACTTTTCTCTTCAGGACTGACCACACTTTAATGTATCCACTTCAGCAAATCAGGGCCAGCCATCAGTTTTAACCCACTGGTTTGGAGGATAAACAGAATGAGAGTACACAGTGAAGGTCATTACAGAAAGCATTACGTGGACACGTACTGCGAGGGGTCTGTGGAATCGGTCCATTTGAAAAACAAGCAGGGCAAGGAGGGAAGTAATCCTCCAAATTTAGATTGGATGCAAAAGGAGTTTGGATCTATGAGGGGACTTCAAAAATTTCATGGAAAAATGGAATTTAAGTATATTTAAGTTTATTTTGGTTCAAAAATTTTGAAATCCATGCGTCTTTTTCATAAAATATATTTTCCATGAATTTTGTAAGGACTCCCTTGTGTAATAAGGAAATGAGAAGTCATGGAAAGTTTTATTTTTCAATGTGGAGAAAAAGAGTATTTTATTATCTTGACTTGATCACAAATTATAATAATACTAATTATGTAAGTTTTATAAACATAGGCCTGTCATCTTTAAAGTCTCAAAGAGCCAAATATTAATATAAAGCACAGGAAATAAATTTAATTGAAAAGAAAGTTGTAACAAAGTCCTTCTACACATTATGTGGAATCACAGAAAGAGGAATTGTTGTAATCATTACCCAAGCCGATACCAAAGATAACACAAGTACAGCAGCTCCATGGTGTAATGTGAATGCTCTGAACTCTGAAGCCAAAGACGAAACAAGAGATGCTTGGTCTGGAATGTAAAATTCAGACCTACGTATAACGCGAATCAGAGAGAAAGATTATCTGCAATTTCTAACAGCAAGATATAGTTGCACATATTGGATTCTTCAATAAAATTGAAAAAATATCAGATTCAGGATAAAATGTTGGACAGTCTTACCAGCCAGACCACCTTTCAGGATAAATTTTCAGGATAGCCATAATGATCAACAATAATGTTCTACATATATAACTTATGTGTTTGCTCTTTAACCAAAACCAGCACTTTTATTTGTAAAGTTCCCAAATTAAAAGCAACAATGGGACCAGCAGTTAGCGTAATGACTATGTCGCTGGATTCCCACGTAGTCAACCACAAGTTCACAGACCTGGTGGCTTAAAACTCATGCCGGCGCGTGTGCGTGCATGCCCAAGATCCCGAGAGGAGAATGGAGGAGAAGGGATTGCAGCGTGGCCATCCTCCCTGGGGGGTGATTTCTCGCTTTCTGTCTCTCTGTCTGTCTCTGTCTGTCTGGTGAGTGCATGCGCCCTATAGCAAAAACCTCTCAAAAAAAAAAAAAAAAGGCAACAAGTAATTATATACATCAGAATTGGTGGGAATACCTAATATTATTTCACAACTGCCACTACATGTTTCCTCTTTGACACAATTGTCACAGACCCGACAGTTTACTTCCTTCCATCGACAAGCTTCTCTCATGATGCTTTGTTCCTGAATCTGGCAGTAGACAGATTTCGGTAGAGGTCGATGATGAGCAACATGTTTTATTTGAAGATGATGTTAAAGTTTCTCCTTTAGCTTCTGGTTATAATCCTTGGTTGCTTTTTCTCGTGATGTAAGCACACCCAATTTTTTAGAAATGTTAGTTTTCCACAGACGAATGTTCATTTCATCAGGCCCACACGTAATATACTTGCTGTCAGAAGTCATTTCACACAGATTACATGCCGCATTCACTTTGTGTGATAGACTTCCCTGCTTCGGTTTTTGTCCACAGGTAAGATTTGAATTCTCAAAACTAGCAGCA